ATGATCACAGTCGAGTCTTGACAATTAAATGAGGGCGATTTGCGAGGGTATTTTGTACAAAATGTGTTCGTAAATCCTACTAATAGATATTTATTCGTAAATCTTGTCCAAATTTCGTAATTTACGACATTTGCGAGCGACAGCGAGAGCACAGTTAATGGCTGCCCACTTTTTTAAATACCGAGTGTGAAAGAATACAATTTAGCCATTACTTTTTTAACCCTACTTGCATGACTTTATACGAGAAAAATTATGTTTTTTTTTTTGTTTTTTTTCAAGATATGTATCCCAAGATCTGGAACATTTTCCAAGCATTCCCAAACACAGAATGACATAGAAACGCATATCCTCCGCCCTGTACAGAATAAAGCACAGACCTTTATTACAGTTAGTGAAAAGGTAAGGTTTTTCTCATCATGCATGTACAGGACATAAACAAATATTCCAATAGGGAGACTGCTCCACAATAATATACTTAACGGGTGATTTCTCCAGTTCATGCATGTACATGTATGTAATATTATTATATGTGTTGTCGTTACAGGAACTACAGGTGACAGGGGAAATTATTACTACAACTAATGGTTTTAAAGAAGTCAAATCAGTAAGTAAAAACAACTACCACATTAAGTTAATAATAACAATGTACTTAACATATTATTTCTACATGTATCATCTGTATCAAAACACATAAATAATGTAAAACTTAAAATGGTCTGTGTTTAAAAAAATAATTGATTCTTGTCACTATTATTTTCAGGTAAGAGTATTGTTTGAAGAAACTTTCTTCAATAGCCGAGATGAGAGCTTCAGAGTTCTTTGCCTCGATCAACCACTTGAAGGTGGTACAGGTAAAATAGTCTTTATTTATAATACAATAATGTCGGTGCATTGTATTTGAGAGATTCGTCTGTACAATATCTTATAAGTCTGTATTTCTTTTATATCAGTTGATGTTGGGGATCATCCTTATCTAGTTAATCTAGATAGTCTTGAAGACTGTGCTGATTTTTTGTGGGGACAGCGAGGTAAGAGAATTTTTTTCAATCGTTACTTTAACCATAACTTTTGTTTACATCGTTCAAAGACTGTTTGTACCTGTGTTCATTTAACCAGCATTATATTTACCTATGCATGTGTTATTGTACTTCTTCGACATGCATAAAATCTATAGGCTTATTATAAAATGTTGTATTCATACTTGTATACTCATTTACAGTCAGTAAGCGTTCTCAAAGACAAGTTGATGAGATGGTGGATTTCTTTAACCATACGTACCAAAGACTTGAAGCAGAGTCTTTACGGTACTGTATAGATGCTGTCAATGCAATATTTACAAAGTCAGTACAGACTGCACTCAAAGATGGTCATCATGTAAGTAACACTGGATGCTTGGTACAAAAATCAATGCAACCACTTTTTCAATTCAGCGGACCTTTAAAATTTGTGCACAAATGAGTTCATATCTTACTGAAACTGTTGAGCAAAGTTTGTACAGTAATACCAGTATGATATTTTGTGAATGCAATGAAACAATGGAGATTATTATTAACTGATATAGTGCATTTCTTCATCATGTTATAGGGAATTAAGATTAATTAATTTTTCTCCCACCTCACCCACAAAAGAGGCTACATAATTCAAATTCAGCAATGCTTGTTTTAATCTGTGTTCTATTTTTTTTTAATTTTGTAATTAGAGAAAAGCTGTCAAGCAAAATAGAAATTTTATGGATAACTTAAAGGTTGCTATGGAAACATATGTAATGAATGGAGTCTTCAAGAAAGTGTTCAAAGCTGTTAGTACTTATGTTGCTAGAGAGGTAAGTGTAATTATTCCCCATCTCAATGTCTGTCTTCTTTCAAACTATCTTTCAAACTTAATACCATGTTTGCCACACACTGATCACATAAATTAAAGATTTGCAGAATTTCAATGAGCTGTAAACACAGATGATGTGACACTAAATTGTTAGTTGTTTCTTATTTCTCCAGGATGCTGAGTTGAATAAGATTACACGGAATCTAGCCGAATTACAACTCAAAGATCTTGGTATAAGACCACAGTTTACTCAGAATGTACCGAGAGCAAGAAGAGAACTCTCATTTCTCAATAAATTTTGTACACCATTAGAAAAGTTGTATTGCCTCAGGAGAACAGTTATGACCATTACACATGCTTCACTGCGAAGAGCCAAAAATGGTGAGAATCTGTTACCTGTAATGCATATACGGTACATAGCAGACATGATAGAGAATGCATATTCTGTGATGTTCATGAGATTGCAATCGTTCACAATAAGATGTGTTGATTGATAGGATTATTGTGAAACTAACACAAAGTTTCTGAGAAGATAGTATCACTGACTAATTGGCCAGTGGATCTCTATATCTTTAAAGTAATCAATAGAATCAGAAGAAGAATTTTTCTCATGAACTGTAGTATACAGAGCTCATATTTTTCATATCAAGTACTGTAAAGTGACTAATTTTCACTGGGTTTAAATGTCGCTGATTTACCATTTCAGGTGTATTCAGTGGGTTTCAAATTCACGGTTTTATCATTTAGATAATGTGTTCTATGCTAAATTTTACATATTCACTGGATTTTAATTTAGCGCATTTTCCAGTCAGCGAAATAAGCAAAATTAAAATCCAGTGAATAATTAATCTTTTTACAGTATACAATCACTAGTGTGATTTTATTCAAATAATTTTTTTTTTTTGCCTAAGACAAATATTGGTATTGTGGAGAAAATTTTATTTAGGATCCAGTATGCTGGAGGTCCATTACATCAATCAAATGACTGAATATATTGGACTGTTGGTCAGTGACAGTGATATGGGTTTTAATTGGCTGCCATTCACTATTGTTTTCATTGGCTAGAGTATAACGAAATAAATCATTATAGATAAAATGCACAGGGATTGAATTGAATTTTATATTTTTATTTTTTCTAGTTCCCATTGCTCCAATCACAACAGATGATTTACTTCCTATACTGGTGTTTTTAGTTGTGAAATCTGAAATCCCAAACTGGTTGGCTAATCTTACTTACATGCAAAATTTCAGATTTTCAAAACCTTCCAATGATGAATTTGGGTAAGTTGTAATCCTGAAAATAATAGTTTGTTATTAAACTGAAAAATAATGTTCCTAACAATTTAGTCTGTATTACAACCTGCATAGTGAGAGAACATGCCATGGCAAACACTTTGTTGAAGGGCATAAAAGGTGATGAAAAGGTCAAAGGTGAAATATGTCATTGGCAGGGTAAACCTGTTATAAGTAAAGCATGCGAGCAATATGTCATCATTTATGCTACTTCATACTCTAGTTGTGTTGAATTAAATTATGTCATACAAAGTGTGATGGATTTAGAAATGTTATGTCTACCAACAAGTATACTTGTTATTTCACAACATACTGTACATGTTTTGTGATTATAATGTGGTGATTGTGCAGACTGAAAATATTGTTGATAAATCTCTATTTCAGCTTCTATGTAGCATCAATAGAAGCCGCTGTGGAGCATGTACGCAGTGGTCACGTGTCTGAAATATTATCTGAGAGAAGCATGTCACCTAAATTACAGATGTCAGCAGCACCATCTGTGCAAATGCCATGGCAACGACAGGATAGTCATGATGGCGAAACTACACCAAGTATAGATGTATTGTTTGAAGTGAGTACAAAACATAGTACGCATTTATTAGGTTGTTTATGTTGTGGAAACCTGCAATAAATATAGTCACAGAATATTATGGTTCAATACAACCAAGGACTGATAAAGTAACATGACCAGTTACTCTTTACATATGCCATGGATGCTACATTCTGTGTTGTTTCTACAACACAGTAATTTATATGATGCATGAAACATGGCAGTAAATAACAAAACACAAATACAGTGTTGACTATTACACCTATTGTCATATATTCTAGTGTGCAAGCAGTGGACATGCCATTATATTTACTAGTATAATCTGTGAAAGCATCCAAAAACTGGATGAGATCAAGTTTGCTACTAGCAAAATAAGTTGCTACCTGTTTTCATATATTACATCACATCATATCATATCTTATCATATCATATCATATCATATCATATCATATATCATATCATATATCATATCATATCATATATCATATCATATCATATATCATATCATATCATATCATATCATATCATATCATATATCATATCATATCATATCATATCATAACTTATTATGTCTCATATACAATGAACGTCGGTCTAATACACAAATTCTGTTAACTATGAAATAATGTCTTTTAATACAAGGTCAGAAATAACTTACTACTGTAAATGCTGGACATATTAACTCACCCTCTAGCACGTTATGATATGTATATTTGTTGTACCACTAGGCTGGAGACCTCTATTATTGAATAAATATTATATGCACAACATATCACCAACATACACAGCGTTTTCGCATTTAAATTTTCAGCATATTAAAGAGGGTAGAATGCAAGATGTTGAGAGGATGCTGCATATGACGTCTAAAGATGAGAATATGCTGGCTGAAAAAATGTGTCATCCATTGTGTTCATGTGTCAAATGTGAAAAACTTATTACAATGTAAGACTTCTGAAATGAATATATTATTCTTGTGATAACAATTATATTGTTTATTGTGAAACTCATTAATGTAGTATGTATCCTGAGTTTTTAACTGTAATTACACAATTTGTGTAATCATGTCTAAAACATATAATATATGCCATTTAGACAGTTTGGTTTTTTTTATTGATTTTAAAGTAATATAAGTTCACCAATTTGTCATGGGAGCCTTACAAGTTTGCTGTATACTAGTAGCCATCAACATTGCTAAATATTGCTAATAACATTACTGTGGGCATTGTCTTATGTTTATACATATCTGTTCTGTAGAAAACGAAATGATCCCACAGCAGTTACTGCATTTTCCCGGGATGATAGAGGGTGCACAGCATTACATATGGCCGCTACATTCGGTATGTACCCATGTTATTTTAATGTAGTTGTTTATTTGTATGCCGCTCCTTGATTGTAGATATAATATACAGAGATATATTAATGATATGTGCATATGTAATTAACATTCACACAGGTAACATGCACAAACTGATGTGTTTTAATTGATATATTCATAGGCCAAGCCAAGATATTAGAACTGTTGGTGAAGAGAGGTGGCGTTGTTAATGCAACAGACTATCATGGTTCAACACCGTTGCATTTAGCTTGTCAAAAAGGACATCAAAATGTGACAGTAAGTAAATTTATATTAATATTTATTTTAATGTCTCAATTCTATGTGTTGCAGTGTTTTGTAATTGAATTCCATGCAGGGCTGGGTTACTAGTCATTATTTTAATCCCAAGTATTTGACTAGCCTTGACTGTGCAATGTAATGTATGTTATGATGTTGCCATATTTATGAGTTTTAAATCTTAACATTGAGTTTGGCATTTTCTTAAATAAAGACCCAGTTTTCTTTTTGTCTGTCATAGCTTTGTTACACACACCAGTATACAAGCCGTTTCAACGATTGATGTAACATAACTAAGTTAAAAACTTGTACATGACCCCATTTAACATTACATTGTGTTTCCTGTATTACAGCTTCTACTGTTAGACTATGGTTCCAATGGCAATATGGCTGACAATGATGGTAACACACCATTGCATTTATGTTGCGCTAATGGACATGAAGATGTAAGTATTGTATTGCATTCTGATGAGAATTGTATAAACATTGTATAATACACACATTAAATTTTGATTGAAAATCTCTCTCCTTTGCAGTGTGTCAAAGCTATTGTGTATTTTGATGGTGCTGTGGTCCCCGTGGACGTGAATGCTGCTAATCTACAAGGAGATACTCCATTGCATCATGCATCCAGATGGGGATATGGTAAGAATGCTTAATACATTTATGGATTTTGAGTGTCTATTACACCTGAAAAAACATTACCTGTAACATTGTAACCTGTAGAGGGATTATGTTGATGTATTGACAATTCAATTGTTGCATCTAAATTTGAATATTCATTTGAATATCAATTGTGTTTGCTATGATTGCATCAATTTACTATTATTTGAAATGACAACAAAGTAGCACACAAACTATTGAACAATGAGTTCTGATCATTTGCTTTTAAAAATGCACTGTGTTTATTTTCTTGTGGTATTTATTATGTCTCTGTTTGGCTGAATGACCACATGAATAATTAATACATGTAGCATGATGTAATGCTGTATGACACATACATAACTGATGCATCTATTTAAACTGTCTTTTCCCATTACAGAGACAATAGTGGATATCCTTTTGGAGCAGAATGCCTCGGTGGAGGCTCTGAATCGTAGAAAAGAAACTCCATTGCTATGTGCACATAATGTCAAAGTATCAAGATCTATAATGAATGCATCTGATAAAGACAATGAACCAATCAGTGTAAGTCGTCTTCATTTTAGCATTGCCAGATTTTCTCATGATGTCTTTGTACGAGTTCCAATGACAACTACCCTCCTTCCTTCCTGGTTGTGTTGATGGCTCACTAAATATAAGCTCTACATGATTATGTTATTTATGGAAATCATTAACTAACTAAACAGTGCTACTAATTGAGCAAATAACATAACTGTTATTTTTTTAATTCAGCCTTCCAGTCCACCTACTGCGAGTACAGTGTTACACAAAACAAGAAAACCCTCTATGTTTGAGCAGATCCAAGTATCCCCGTCACAAGCAGCAAAGAATGCTATGTCAGCAATTGAACAAGCCAGGGAAAAACAGGTATTCTATATTAAATATAACAAGGAGATTGTTCCAACAAGATGTGTGTATGGGAAATAAACGTATGAAATAAGGATAAGTTAATTTAATAGAAATGTTGCAGATTCCTTCGACTATAATCTATAATCAAATTAGTATTCTTGTAAATTAAAAAAACATCGTTGGTTATCAGGTACTAAACTCATGTATTAATTTAAATTTTCATCTTGATAGGTTTTGAGATTATTGAAGGCAGTAGCTGATAATGATATACAGCTTGTAAGATATCAGTTAGGTTGGTTAAGTGACAGCGAAAGTGATGATGACAATGATAGCGGTTCTATGTCTCCGAGCAAATTCAAACTATGTCATCCTTTGTGTCAATGTGAGAAGTGTCAGTCTTTACAGAAGGTGAGTATGTTTCATATATATTTATTTGTTTGATCAAAGCTGTGCTTTTGACCCACTGATTGTATAACCACTGTAAGTTAACAAATTAATTGTACACCCAATTGATGCAATAAGAACAACAAATTATTTTCAGGTTTTTCATGGCTTGATTTGTGATGGCAACATTTTATCAAGCATTTTTGGGTTATTTAAAAGAGTTTTAGCCAACTCCTAAGTTTTCTGTTTACACTGTACATGAAATGTGGTATATTATCACATCTTAATATTTACTAATTTACAATTACAAACAAGTTGCTGAATATATGCGACAATACTAGGAGTCGTATCATTCTAAAGAGAACTCATCCAATATGTGTTGCACTACACTGGTACGCAAAAAACAAAAAGCAGTTTTCAAACTGATTTTTTGGCATAATAGAATATTGTTGAAAATAAGAATAAAATTTAATTTCCAATCCAAAATATTCACATATTGAAAACCAAGATTTTACTTATAGTTGAACAATCAAATAAATAATTATTATTTGCTGATATATTGCTGCATTACAGTACTACTGTAAAATCTGTATTAGAAACCACGGCTTCTATTAAAATGATACAATGCAACAAATGGGATGTGGCTTTTATTAGAGTATGTACACATACAAGAAATCAGGAATTTGTGGTTATCAATTATTAAAAAAGAATGGGTGCGACTTCTATTAGGGATGTGGCTTCTAATACAAATTTTACGGTAATGATTCTTAGCATAGCGTCTGTATCTTACTGTAAAATATTTTATTTTTAGCTGGAATTAATTTTCGCTGAAAAGACAATTTGGGTGTTTTGTATGGAATTTATTTTGAACGATTTTTGAGGAGTTGAATGTAAAATATAGGAAAAAATGTATATTTGCTAGATTTTATTTTCACTGAATCATCACTTCAGCAAAACATCGAAAATAATTTTCCAGGCAAAAATAAAGTATTTTACAGTATTTAGTCAGTCAGTTTGAGTCTACTAAATCTTTAACCCATGGTATTGTGGTTGGCATTTCACAATCTCAGGGTGACTGTTATCTTCTTTCCTTCACAGCGTACTTCAGTTGCAGCAAACTCTGTGATCCATGCAAACTCGGCCAATCATAATGGTTTGACGTCATTACATGTTGCGGCTGCCCATGGACATGACTCCCTAGTCTCTCTGCTTATACGCAGAGCTGGCAATGTGAATTGTAGAAACAAAACACAGCAATGTACACCACTTCATTTAGCTGCACAGTATAATAGACCAATGGTGAGTTCTCACAAGTGAAAATATCTAAAACACAATTCTTGCATTAAACATAAAGTCTTACATGAGTAAATGCAGGGTGCTGAATGCCCCTTATTTGCACAGAAAATTCAAATATTTTATCATAGAAGTGAAATCGTATGATAAACACGATGGTACATAGTTCTCTGTTTCTGATCTGGTTATTATATGTAGGTGAACTGAGAACTGTGAATGATGTTTGACTTGTATGTTTCTTTGTTTGTTTACAGGTCATCACTTTACTGCTAAACCATGGTGCTAAATGTAACACTAGAGATGGCAAAGGTAACACCCCATTACATTTCTGCTGTCAGAATGGTCATATGGAAGCTGCTGAACTCCTCCTACAGGTAACGTTTGTCATCATTTGTAGTTTATCAATGCTAGTTGAATTGTATCAAATTTTCAAGATAAACGTGTACCAGTCAATTAGGTCTTCAGTTTTTATACACAGCTTATTATATGGTTCTTAATTTGACAGAATGGTGCTGGTGTGAATGTTACTAATCATAGAGGCAACACCCCTTTACATGAAGCCTCAAAGTGGAATCATTTACCTTTGGTGAGGTTATTACTTGAATCTGGTGCCAATATTACAGCGAGGAACAAGGCACAACTCACACCATCACAATTATCTCAGGTAAGAATTTGTTATTGAATGATGTCACAAAACACTTAGTAATAAAGTATGAATCAGCAATTTCTTTGATTCAGTCCCAAATGCTTGATTCAGTGACAACTACATTCTGAGAGAGTATTTGCTTTGTTTTTCACAGGATTTTGTTGAAAGCTGCAAGCAAATATAGCTGTTGTTAATTTGGGCAATGGTATAGTGATGAGCATGTTTGCCCTAACATCAGGGAGGTTCTGGGTTTGATTCCTGGAGCTGGCTGTTCACCAGTAATATGACAGTTTTATGTTTGGGAAACTGTTTTGCACTCAAGCACCCAACCACCTACTCACCCTCAAAATATCATTGTGTTAAACCTAATCTTGCTCAAAGCTTAGTTATGAAAATAAAATAGCACAGTAGTTCACCTCTCCTGAGTTTTTAATGGCCAAACAGCAGCAAATCATATTCTGCTAAAACGTGGACTTCTAATGAATCTAACACCTCTCAATTATTACATAATAATTTCTATTTCTCAGCAATTTGTCAATAAATGTCATAAATGGTATACTAAGAATATTTGTGTAACACAACTGTGTCTAAACAATAATTGACAACCTCTACACGCATGATTAATATTCCAAAGATCAATTTCATATTTGTGATTTTCTTATGGTACAAAATGTACCAACCTCATGCAATGACATGTGTTTTTTCATCCTGTTACAGAATGAGGATGTCACACTGTTATTGGAAGATGCAGAAGATGGCTTTTTTGAATCAAGCGGTGAATACAGTACCTCACCAAGTGCTAACAGTTTATCAAGATCACCAAGTAAAAGTGGAAGCTATCTATCCCAGTCACCGAGTCAAGACAGACAAAGTTCAAGTTCAAAGAAAGCATTGATAGCAAAACACGAGGCTAAGTTGATGGGTAAGTGAAATGGGATGATCTACAGACCTGACCTGTGACAGGCACAATACAAGTCTTTTATCACACGGCATGTGTACAGTTTGGATCAGATCGGTGTGTTCCAGAATTAGGTCCACTTAGTTACACCATAATTAATAGACTACTGTAGAATACTTTATTTTCGCTATTTTCGCTGAAGGGATGATTCTGTGAGAATAAAATCCAGCAAATGTATTTTTTTTCTATATTTCACATTAAATTCATCAAAAATCAGTGAAAATAAATTCCAAGCCAAATGCACAAAAAGCCTTTTAAGCGAAAATTAATTCCAGCAAAAATAAAGTATTCCACAGTACTTAATTATGCATGTGTGTTGCTTCCATATATTGAATATATCTGAGTACCTGACTTGATAAGAAATGCATAGATACCCAATGACACAAGGTACATGCTGTTTTCACTTACCGATAAGTGCATGATACATGTAGTAGTGTTTGTTGTGGCAATATAATATGAAGTTGTGATAACCTGACTGTGCATCTGAGTCATGTCTCTGTTAATGTAAATGATATGTCACCGTAGCAACTCGCCATTACACACTGCAGCATTTCTCAGCGATTTCAGGTTCACCTACTAGACACCTAAGCATGAGGGATTTATTTAAGGCATTTGAGGAATCTGACGTGGTTCAAATAAAAGAACTTGGTGAATCTATTCAGACTTTTGACAAGAAGAAAGACTTGAAGAAAACTATTACTCGAGATATGAGTGCTCCTCGATTAGATGGATATCTGAAACATCAGGTGAGAAAGTCCATCTCTTCATGCCAACTGAACCAGATACAAGCTCTGTAATTGTGCTATTTCATTTGATATAATTGTTACATTTGTGTTTGAAAACAAGCAAACATTGCGTTATGAGTGCCATGTGTAATGCCTACAATAAACTGACAATATAATCAACTCAGTTTTTTAGCTCTCTTGTCATGGAAGATGATAGGGTAAAGCTGTTCATATAGGTGACTTACCATCTTCATCCATCAACTTTTAGTGTAAACTTCTTTTTGAAAAGTAGCCAGCCGATTACATTGACACTTGGTGTGTAGGGACTAGGATGGACCTCTGTCAGATTTTGTTCAATTCATGATGATCTCTTCAATTTTTTTTTTTAGCAAATATTTTTGTCACTTGGTAAAAAAAAATGATATTATTGACTTCTTTTTGGAAATTTGTTAATTTTCTGACAATATTCTTTTTTTTTCATTTTTGGTAAAAATTGTTATTTTCGATGTGTTAACAATTACTGTACTCTGGCAACAATGCTATGAATGCCATAGTGGTGATTTAGTAAGAAGCATTGTGCTTCCAATTACAATTACCATGGCAATTTCCACATCATTTTGTTGACCGTCTTTTATAGAGACAGTGGAGCTATTACCACAGTCAGGTCACTTGTTTCAAATTTTATTCCTGATTTGCATCATCTTTTCACATGTTTTTTCTAACCCTGCCTGTCAGAGTGAATATCGTTATAATGTAATGCACATGTTTTTTGATTGCACAGTTATCTCTTTACTAACAGATTAAGTCAGTAACATTTTCGCTCTTTAATTTGAAATGATTATTTTTTATATAAATGTCTTACAGATGGCAATTTGTAATTTTGATCGGAAGTCGTTAAAACAAGTTGATGTTGATGACAGAAGTATACCTTATATGCCCAAGGATATACAAAGCACCAAGCCAGATGCACAAAATTATAGCCTGAATATAAAGAGGTCTACCAGCTTTGAAATTGGCAGCCCAGTGAACTCAGACGATGAATATGTTAATATATCCGATGTTGATAGTCCAAGTCACAATTTCCGTAGTTTCAGTACTATGAAAGATGAAAGGACTTCAAACAAGCAAAGGAGTGCGATAGCGGATGTGGAACAGACCACCAGGTCAAACGGAGCTGAAAAAGAAATGGATGTTTATTTTGATCCAGTGAAGGGTTCACATGAAGGGGTTTCACGGGGGAGTGTTGCTTCAAGTCCTTCAACCCCCGAATCTGTGATTGTCGCCGCAGAGAATGAAAAATATTCTGAAGGTTCAACTGTTGGCAATGAATCCACTGCTGGTGCAGATGTTGCGTTATCCAAGGATACATCTGCTCTGAAACATTTTGCTATTACAAGGGACTGCACAAATGCATACCAGACTATAGAAAGGAAAACTGATGGTTTTGAACTTGAGTTTGATGAAAATCGTTTTGCAAAAGATACACCCCCTTCTGTTAGGAAGTTTGGCAGGGTGATTCAAGATTCACCTCTTGATACACCTACTTTATCACCTGACATGGTTAATGCATCACCTGACATGGTTAATGCATCACCTGACTTGGCCACTTCGTCACCTGACATAGCTACTCTAGAACAGGAAATACATGATTTACTTTCTGATAATGATGATAGTTATGCCACCCATGATGAACTCGAATGATGAATTACTGAATCTTGATGATTAATTACACATATTTCATGTGTCAAGTGTATGAATAATATGAGGTTGTTACGAAGATACCTCAAAGTATGCACGAAGACAGTACAGTGTGAGTATCGACCAACGCGCAGCAGAGGTCGATTTGATGGCGTACTGTCTTCATGCATACTTTGAGTTATCTTCGTAATAACCTTATTATTATACATCTTTTTTTCCAAGGATACATCATTGGAATGCCGAAATCTAAAAAGAATCAGCGAACTTCTTTGTGTGGAGTCTGGTCAAACCCTGGTGGCAGCCATGTTTGGTTTTATTATTAAAGGACGCTTACGCGCGCAATCATTTCATATTTGGAATTCGCATTTTCTTATATGGTAGGATGAAAATACCCTGTAAAATACCACAAAATTACGGCATGCTGTAACTTATGGCATCACGCTGACAGATGTATAAGTATTACCGATATTAGTCAAATTATGTGAAGTTTTAGACCAACTTTGTGTCAACTTAAAATTTCATACTATATGTATAAAATAATGTCTTGCCAATATTGAAGAGCAGCTGGTTTAAAATTAAAAGGATCTTTCTGCCTTTCTGATATATTCTTTATAATAATCATGGAATAATTACCATAATGGTACGTTTTTTTGTTTGTTTTTTCAAATGAAACAATCAACCCATTTTGAATTGGGTGGTTCACCCCAGAATGGTAACAACAAATATTCACTTTCTGATCAAAATGGGGAAAAACTTTTAAATTATTCATGTGCTTGTAGCATTTTTGTTTCAATCCAAGAATACTTTGGGATCATTTTTTTTTTCAGTGAGCTATAAACACCCTGGATAGCAAAAATCAATGGGAAAAAAATAGCATCAGCAGGCAATGTATTACTGGTTACTGGTTCAGGGTGGGAAAGGGGTTTCCTTAAAATAGACTATAAACTAAGTGTTTAAATGGATTTTTAAGGATTTTAAAATAAAAAGACATGAGAAAAAAATGTTTTGACCATTTTGCATGTTGTGGTTTCATTGGGACCAGTGCAGGTAGGTTTCATTTCTATTCTTCTAAGGAAACTATTATAATAAAGTTTTCTAATATTGGTGATTTATCTTGCTTCTCTTGATAAAACGCAACTCTCAGTAGCTTTCAGAAAATATAAGTCTATCATCATCTTTGGTATTTCCGGTGGTTACAATAATTTCAATACCCTCTCATATTCACTCTACAATCACTTATTCACAACATCAATATATACCGGTAGTCATATGCTCTGTCAGTATACTATGAGCTGTCACTGTACCATGCCCTGTCATTA